TGGCTAGAGCATTATTACAGCCGTCGTCCATCGTCCATAGTCCTAGCCGTTGTAGTAAGACACACATAAATGTCAGCTACAAGATTTGATAGCTCCGGGTTAAGACTAAGCACTAAGCGTATGCGTGTCAAAGCTCTGGGCGAAGGGACGTAAGCGTGGCTGTGTGTGTGTGTGTGCATGTTTGTGTAGCTAAGTGTAGAAGCAGTTAGTTGCCTGGCATCTGCTTGGCTGCGGCCCAACTCAAGTCCCCATCGGTAGCGAGCTTGCTACAAAATGGACCAAGCTTAACCCAACGATGAAAATTGTTCTCAATTACGGAAATTCGTAACTAAACTTTTGTTATATACTTTGGGGAGCAGAACATTACTTAGACTAAGTATTCTCAACTTCATATTATGCACTTTCAATACGCACCAATACCCTTTGAAGGTATTTGATAGGCTGGCATGCAAGTTCAGAAAGTTCAAACTTTTTTCTAACTTTATAATCAAGTTCCAGTTCGCAATGAGCTTACAAATTTTGTGTAGTTTCTTAAGTTCTTTTTGTATCATTTAATATACTTATTGAAGCAACTTCGCTTGATCAAATATGAAATATGTTGGACTAATGAAATCAGCTTCTCTATAGAGCATATATAGGGTAGGCCTCAGTCGAGCTTGGTGAGCTCTAGAAATGTATTTAACTTAAAAATTAGTTTAGCTGAGTTTTCTCTCTCTTGTGCATGTACTTTGCTACAAATTAGGCACTGTGCAACAAGAACACGTAATATAAATACCACAGAGTGCTCGCTTAATAGTGGCTGCCCCATGTAGCACCTGCTGCTGCTTCTGCTGCTGCTGCTGATATTGCCCCATCTGACAGCGTTTTAAGAGGTTCACATGTGGCTGCCACTGAGAAAACTGTTGCCCCCGAAATGAACTTTTGCATAGAATGTTTAGCTGCGGCGGCAGTTACAGCTGTGCCCCATGGGCACTAAGTGCCGTTGTGTCCACCATGGCCGCCCTTCTCGCACTTGTGTGTCCGGCTGCCTGCTGAGTGCTGCTGCTGATATTGTATGTGGGGCGCCTCTTAGCTTGGCCTTCGCTTCAAATTTTATGGCTCAAGTTGAAAAGAACATTTTGCGAGCTGCTGCTTCGCTCTGGCCTGAATGCCAGTGTCGCGTGTGCCGTAATCGATATTCGTGAGCTGCTTCTCCCTGCTGCTGGAGCTGCGTGTCTGTTTGCTGTTTATTAGCTACCCATTGACCAGCTACCGGTAAATTCAATATCTTTTATTTGCACAATTTTCCAGTTGTTCGCCTGCCGGCTGCCGCCTCCTGGCGGCGTCGGCTCCATTTAAACTTACGTAATGTTTGCATTAACGTCCTTTTTTTTCTTTCCCAATAGTTATAGAGCTCCCTGCCACTGTGCCTCAAATTCGATTTGCACGGTCTCTGGCTAAGCCACAGACTTGTATATATGTAAGCAACCGCAATTCCATTCACACTTTGTCGCTGGGCGGTGTGAAAAATACGGCTTAACAGTACATTTACTCAAGAATTTATGTGTTTATAAACAGTATGTGAGTGGGTGGGTGTATGTGTGTGTATTTGTGACCAGCAAACATCTGAATGGTACGCCATGTGCTGAATGTGTTGCTGGAATGCGTACAATGCGCTTAGAGCTGCCATATATTATTCAATTTGCGCAACAGACGACTGAAACTCGCTGGTTTAGCCAAACAAAGTCGAACTTATATACCGAAATACTATGTAAATTTAATGCAAACAATGCATACGGAATAGATGTAGAGCAGAGCTGCCTCTAAGGGCTCTGTTCAAGCATTTTCCATTCAATTTTGATGGCTTCAAAATGATTTCGCGACAGTGGAAATTGAGTGTTTAAAACTAATATTTTATATGGATAATCAACCGAAAATATATATAGATTATACGGATTTGATCTGAAGAGCCAATAAGCTCTGCTCTATTTATTTTTCATTTATGTGTAATTCATATTCGAGTACTAAAATTATATTTATATTCACATTGAACCAAAAATGCTTTGCATTGCAGCTGCATAATTTCACCGCACAACATTTCAATGGCAGCCAGTGCGTGGTTTGACAATTTCATTGAATGTTGCGGCAGTCGCTGTATTCAATATTCAAATTGTCATCTTTAATCCATTTGCTTTTGCCATGCAGCTACAGTCGAAGGGTTAATCTAGCTGTACGTCGACTACATGCGAACAAATTGATATTATCGGATTTTATTTTCGACACGCCACCCAACATTTGCTTAAGCGAGTTTTATCTATTCGCGTTTGGTTGCGGCATCAATTATTGAAAAAACACGTTGCATTGCCAGCAGCACTGCCCCTGTTAACCTTCCCCTCCATAGAAACCATTTAATTTCCAATTTCTGTGCGCTAAACTCGGAGGGGCGGAGGAGCAGAGATAGTGGCACATCGTCGAGTGTGGGGCATGCAATTTATGCGAAATCACGTATTCCATGACATAAAAAACTATAAATAATGCAGCCGCCGAAATGCATTTGGGGTTGAGTGGGTGTCTGTGTGTGTGTGAGGCTAGATACATTGCATGTGCTATGATATGTAAAAATACATAAAAATGCAATTTAATGGAAAGACTTGCAATCTTCAAGCTGATGCAAAGACATTTCTTTGCTCATGTCCAGTTATCGAAGAATGTGTGGCAGCTCGGGAGTGTGTGTGTGGGTGTGTAAATGTATTTGATGTGGCTCAATGTCATTGACTGCTGTCACTGTAAGCACACTTCAGATATATGTGTGTATACGCCCACACACATACACTTTGACCCCTTGCTGAGGCCTGTGCTAATCTTTTTTATGGTTCGCTCCGCCCCTAGCCAGAAGCCCTTAGTTTTGGCCTTGGTGTTTCGAGTTACTTGCTCGCACTCGACTTTGGGTTACCGAGATTCAATAAAAGATATTTTTGAATTGCTGGCAACGTCAATAGCAACGTCAACGTCAACGGCAATGGCAACGGCTGCGGGCCACAAATATCTGTTTGGTATTTCAATTTTATATAACATTTTCGGCTCGACTGGTAGCTGAGCTGAGCTCAGCTGAGTGGCACTTCGCTCAGAGTTTATTAGGTTCATCAAATGCTGTCAGCAGTCAACATATGTGACTTTATTTGGGTCGTTCCCATCACAACCAAGTGGCCAACCACACCCACCAAGTGGCCCAGCCTATAGTTAACCAACAAAAAACCATCCGATAAAAATCAAGCATATTGCTGTTTTGACCTTGCCTCAGTGTCTGATACCAGAACAGATTTGATACGTAAAATTAAAACAAGTAAGAAAGCTCTAGTCGGGATGTCCGACAAGGAGATACCCTGAATTCAGTCCTATCTGCGGTTTTTAATATTTTCCGAAATAAATAAGAAAGAGAGAATAATAACCAACATTAAGACACCAAGATTCGAACTAACATCGCCTACACAATGTACATTAGCTCTACCAAATGTATAAATAATTCTTGAAAGGCATTAAATATAGGTAAAAATCTATGGATATATTACATATTATATATTATATATTATATATTATATATTATATATTATATATTATATATTATATATTATATATTATATATTATATATTATATATTATATATAGATATATATTTAATATAGGTATAAATATTAATATATTAATTGTTTTATTTTTTTTTTTATTATTTTTTTTCTATTTATTTTTTAATTTCTATTTTTAAAAAGAGGAAACTTTTAGTAATACTTTTTCTGAATAATAAATAAATAGATTATTTAGCAAACATTTGTCAATGCTATTGTTAATATGTTTTATATATTTTTATATAACATGCATTTCTATATTTCTTTTTATACATATTTTATGTATACATGTATGTATTTTTCTAAATATTTAACATAGATGTGCAAAAATAAAATGTTATAAAAATTCAAATTAAGAGGCAGATTATCTGTTCTCTATGCCAAACACTAATAAATAACTTAGCTATATCACAAAGAGCTAAATAAAACACATTTAACATTTTTTATTAGATATATAATAAGAGTAAGTTTAGTTACGAAAAGTGATCATGTTACATGATCATAAGCAAAAATGATCATTATTCCGTATGATCATTATCGCTGATGAACAGTAAGATGATCTTCATTATTATAATAACAATTAGAATTTATTAATAATAATTAAAAGTTACTTAAATACTAAATATTATAAATGTTTAACATTTAAATGAACTTAAATATTACATATTTATTAAGTAAAAAGAAAAACTTAAATATATATTTAAACAAATACAATATTTATTAAATAAATACAAATTATTTAAATTTAAACAATTCAACCAAAAAAATTTAATTTTATTCACAATTTGCACTGAACACCGACTGACCTAGTCCAGGTCATCAACTTGACTGATCGTCCACAGCCGCTGCTGCGCCTTTTATACCCAAAAGTCACTCAAAAGGCAACGCCAGCAGAGCTCTTGAGCGCTTTTTGAGTGAGAATTTACACTTGTTTGGAATTAAGTTTGAAGCAGAAGGAAAGGCGAACAGACAAAGCTAGCTATATACACAACATGTCATTATGATCGGTAATATATGTGATATACATATATATATATATATATATATATATTATATTACTTCTCAGCTGCTTTCTTACATTACAAAATTGGGAGGCTCTAACTCTTAAGAATATTTATACTTTATGGCGTCTGCCTCGCCTCCTTCTGCCTGTTACATACATTTTAACAAAACCAGTTTAAATATCGGTAAGTTTAAGCCTCAAGAGCTAGATTTTGATGATCAGAACAGATCGGGAAAAGGTTTAAAACCCTAAAGGCTTCAGACATTAATTAAATTAAATTTGTAATGTAAGCATTTTTATTAAAATAAAATGCTTGAAACTTTTCAATTGAATACCCAAAAAGGACTCCATATGAATTTAAATTTAATAATATTTCTTCTCATTTCTTTTCACAGCCCGTTTAAAAGTGAAAGTAAGTGGAGCAGCAAGCCACTTGTGGGAACTGGGGTAAGTGTAGCTCCTTTGGCTAAGAATTATTTGATTTGTGAAAAATTCAACTGAGTAGAAATTTGACTTTAGATTAGGCGATAAAAATGCGCATTAAGCTGTCTGGCAGAGATAACTTCATATGAATTTATTGACATCTGTATGCCGACTGCTGGTCAGCTCTCTGGGGCCCCATTTCGGCTGACCTATCCCATGGATAGACATACATACGCACACTTGTGTATAAGTGCATAAATTTCTGCTTTGCTGTCGGACAAGTGGGCAGTCAGGCATGAAAAGGCCAACATCCGCTGCGGCTAATGTGCTGTCATTTGTATTTTGGGTGTTTGTATTTGACTGGATTTTCGTACCTTTGTGGCATATCACAAAAAAAAAAAAGAAAAAAGAGAAACAGACAGAAAAAATACATAAATAAATGAGCTACGTGCTAGGGATTTTCAATCGATTGTCGGTCTTTTCTTTTGTCATAATCAATCCTGGGCCAATGATTTATGCAAACAAATTTCGGGCTTTCAGCGGGCGTAAAAATAGTCAAAAAAGCAGAAGAAAAACTGCATTGAATTTAAATCAAAGTTAGCTCTGTCTGAAGAGCGACTAAACCCTTGCGATTGTGCTTCAACAATTTGTGTATTTATACCCTGTAACTGAGAATAGGGTGGATATGAACGGTTGTTAGTCGTAGAGCTCATTTAGAGTTGAAGGGGATCTTGAAGTCTGTTAATATAATTGTGAAAAACTTCATTAGAAGTTTCAGAACACAACTCCTTAGTATTCTTCTAATATCTTGTAAGTAAAGTCTAACGAGTACAGGGTAGCAGTGAGCCTACATACTTTCATTTAGTCAATTGCTAATTGTTGTTGTTTTGTTGTCCTTTTGGCCGCTACTTTGCTGTGGTCTGACGTCGTTTTTTGGTCAATTATTCAAACCAAAGCGAGTGCTGCCGTTTGGCCAGCGGTTGCGGTTACAACCACCAGCGAGGACTAAGATGGGTGAAGCTGGTATAGGGTATGCCATGCTGTGGCGTAGCCAGGCAGCAAACGATAACATTTAAATGGCTAGCAGCAGGTGACGCTTCATGTACTCGCAAATGGCATAAAACCAAGTGAACGTGTAAAAAGTGTTGCTCGCTTTGCAGTCAGTGGCTCCTCAACAGGTTTGCGAGCTACGATTGCTGCAAGGCTCAAGCCAGTTCATTATACGACTCGGGTTTGTTTACACTGGACTTCCATTCGCTTTACGAGTATGTGAGTGTGTATGTGTGTGTATGTCAGTGTGTGCGTGTGCTGTAGCTGTTTACAAAGGTGTCGGTCATGCAGACGGTCGATGGTCAGTCGACTGCAGACCACAGTAGACAAGCTAGTCGCATCCTGTGACCGCATCCTGTCGCCGGCAGCCCGCCTGTTTGCCTGTCAGCCGCCTGCCCGCATGCCCGTCTGTCCGTCTGCCCGCCTGTCAAATGTACTTTGCAGCTTCAGCTTTAGAGCTGGGACTTCCTTTGACCGCCCACTGCTTCTTCCCCTTTTAGTAGCCGCTCCTAGGCTCCATTGTTCAGTGATGACGCGCCTCAGCATTCATATGACTTTTATGCCCGGTTCTAGGGTAAGGCATTTTGACGCCAGGCCGAAGCCGTGTCAGTCATCCAAGCTGGCTAACGAAGCATAAACTAAGCGCTCTTTTAATGTTGCTGCAAGTGTGCTCCCTCTGTGTGTAAGTTCAAAAGAAATCAAGCGTAATGAAGCCCACAAGCAGCCCGAGACACACTTATTCAGCAAAATTGCAAAGCTGGCACAAGTTCATGTTTATGTTCCCATTCGCATGCCAGGGCTCTTCAATTCATTGTCGTTGTGCACGGAGAAAACTGAAGCAGATGATAATAGATACGCGTGTACTGCTGGTCGGCAACTACTCAGCCGAGGTCGAGACTTGCCAATTGTGTGCTTCAGAATGGGTAAATGAGCTACGCGAAGTAATCCACTCGATGTCCAATTAGCGCCCGGCGATTTTCCCTTAAGCGCTTTTCGACTCTTTATTAGCTCGAACAAAGCCATTCGAGGGCCGAATTAAAGAGATTTTCCGTTTCTAATTGATTTTTGAATGGGCTGCTAAGATGCTCAGAAAGGGTTAAGCGACGCAACACTCAAATGAGAAAATTCTCCTTTAAATACTCATCAAGTAAGATAAAGAGAGGTCTGTTTACAAAATTTAATTAGGCAAATTGAAAGGATTTCATAGCCGAAGCATTTAAATAATAAAATTATAAATATTCGCATTGATTAACATATATATGTATATATGTATTTTTTTTGTACTCAGCATATGCCACATGGCTTGCAGCATTTTTTAATTGTTAACTTTTATTTAAATGCCACTAGCGATGTTTACATATGGCTGCCATGAATTGCGCACCTGAGTCATTAAATGAAAGTACCACAGGGCGAATGCTTATTATTATTATTATTATTATTATTGTTGATGTGTGCATTATTGCGGCAAAACGGCAAAGACAAAAACAATAGCATTAAAAATCAACGTATAATTGCCATTAAAAACATAAAACACAACAATCATTTGAAGAACCAGAGAACCAGATCGAGACGCTGAACCAGAACCCGCTGCTGAACAAGACGCAGCGCAGAAAGAGGGAAAATCAAAAGCAAGACATAAAATGGCTGCAGGAAATGATGTGACGTGACGCGCAGCTTTTGTTTATGTTGTCTGTTGTCTGTTGTCTGTTGGCCGTTGTTGTTCTGCTTCTGGTTCTTTAGCTGCTGCCCTTTGCCGTACACAACAGCGACAACCACAATAACAACAATAAGAACAAACCCTTATAGCAATAACAGAATAACTTTTACAACAAAGGTAGGCAGCAGTAGCAGCAGAGAAAACGATTCGCCATTGCCTTTTGTTTTCTTCTTCTTCTCTTCTTTAGTGCTTTTTTATGAAATCTTACATTATTGTGCTTGTGGCACGTTCTGAAGCACTGTCTATACAGAGCGTGTCCTGTGACTGACTGCTTATTAAAACAGAGCTTAAGGCAGTTTAAATATCTATATGTCCTGCTCCACTGAAGAGTGTGGCCTTCTACGGATAACTTTGTTGATATGCAAATGCGAACGAACAGCTCTCTTCTTGAAGGAGTAAATAGACTTTGCTGCAGTTTAACTATTACAACAAGTACTAGTACCAAGCAGGGAGGGACGTATCAAAAATTAGGAATATATACAAGAACTTGGTATTCGTTACGGGAATCCCTACAGTAAATTGGAGGTTGCCATGACTTTTTGAAATATTCTATAAATATATATAATATAAATATGTAATCTATTTCCGTGGCGCAGGTCTACGACATGAAATCTTTTAAGTCGACTGAGGTTGCTTGAGTCATGCAGTAGTCTTAGTGCTAGAGCATTATCGTGGTTATGTAGCTTATTCTGTATATTTTTCCATATATATATACTGAAAATTTCGAATCTCTAAAGTTTTTGTGGTTTCAGCATGTTGCTTTGATCAAAAAAATAAATGTTGGGGTGTCTGTCATGCCTGCTTCTGTCGGTCACTTCCATTTCAGAAATCCATTAAGCCCTGAACTCCCATTTGCAGTGGATTCAGTGCTTAAAAAGCTGACAGTGTCAACAACAAAAAATTCCATTTCAGATTACAAACTGCGGTACTATCATGCTTTTAAAAGTTTATATAGTAAAAAAGTGTGAAAAACAAGTAAAACTATGTAGCTAATAGTTGAGCCGCCTTAAGAGCTTTACAGCGGATTCGACAATAAAACACAATTTCCTAATGCCAGCATTAAAATTAAAAAAAAAATAGTATAACAATTCATATTTAAAGCCATTCACTGCCAGCTTTTATTTATCGGTGCATGCCACTGTTATCGATAAATTGTTAGAGTTAAGGGAATTTGTTATCAACTTTTTTTTCCAATTTCCTGCTCTATGAGTTGAGATCTAATATAACCCAACTGAGTCAATGAATTTATGTGCATCATTTTGGATTATGAGTCAAATGTCTTTATGACATCAGTTGTATAATCTTAAGCATTGGAATTATCATAATAAAAATTGTTATCAGCTAGACTGCACATTGAACTGACGAGGTAACGAAATATTATCAAATTCTTTGATTTCTGAATGGAAATTTGTTTTGATTTTCGATGAGCTCATTTTAGTTAAACTGAAAACAAAATCAAAACAAACACATAAATATTTATGAGTGGCCTTAAAGTATTTGCTAGCAGCGTTCCATTGCTAGCTCAGATCTGCAAAGCTTCCTTTGGCCATATAATATATTTGCACACATTTCGATGCCTTTGTGGCATTACGTTAACAAGTAGAAAGCTTACATCTAATGTCCTTTGCACACACACAAAAGCGATGACTAAAGACACTTGTTTTTTTGGGTCAATTTCAAAGCACTCGACGTATTCGATTGATTTTAATACGCACTCGAAATAAATTTGTGAAATTTTGCTTGTGTGCGACACTTTTTAGCCGTTATCAAAGCGATTTAAAAACAATTACACTTCTGACATTAATGGCGCGTGCTCGTGATGCCGGCGCAACAACAAGAGCAAAATCAAATCAGTTTCACTAAGTGTGATCAATGGGAAAATACCCTGTAAATTGATGTTGAGGCTCGATAGCTCAGCTGTGCGCACTGATAACGCTCTCATCGGGTTCATTGCTCGGCAATTAACATGCCTCACACATCAAGCTTACAGGGTATGCTTGCACAAAACAACATATTAGGTTTTTTATGCAAAACTTTTGCACATTTTCCGCACACACTCAGTCGGAGAGAGAGAGAGCGAGATGGGGGTAAATAATCGCATCTGTTGTTGGCAGCCGCAGAAAACTTTCATTTGTTTACACGGCCCTCGGTGCCTGCTGCCCGGATAACCACATCAAAAATAACGCGGCCAGAACGAAAGGAAAAGAATACGGCATAAAAAATGTTTAAATTGATTTTGAAAAAATTTTAAATAAAC